CATGGGCCCCCGTATCGCACAGTACATGGGCCCCCGTATCGCACAGTGCATGGCCCTATGTCGCACGATACCCACAAAGCTGATAGAGCACTAATCTTTGGAAGACGACAACTACCTCTTGCTGCCTGGATTTATCAGGGACTCTCCTGCAAGCCTCTTCTTGGACACTGGTGAAGATTCAGGTCCATTTGCCTTCCTCTTGGAATCATACTCTACAAGCAAACAGCAACAGATTTCAATCATGAAATGTTCGAATGATTAAGCACTGGAGACAATTCAGCAATGATTAAGCATTTCTCTAGTACTAGATTTTTGAAGGAGTTACTGAATTGCCTCGCTGTTCTTTCCTCTAAGCACCTGCATCTCTTGCCTTTCCAAGTGTTTATCCAATCTCCTTTTGAAAGCTATTATTACATAGAATATAGAACAGTACAGCACAGTACAGGCCCTTCCGCCCACAATGTTGTGCCGACCTATTATCCTACTAAGATCAATCTACCCTGCATATCCTACATTTTACTATCCTCCATGTGCCTATCCAAGAGTCATTTAAAAGTCTCTAAAGTATCTGACTCCACTCCCACTGCCGGCAGCGCATTCCACACACCCACCACTCTCTGTGTGAAGAACGTACCTCTGACATCTCCCCTGTATCTTCCTCCAATCACCTTAAAATTGTGCCCCCTCATAATAGTCATTTCCGCCCTGGGAAAAAGTCTCGGACTATCCACTCGATGCCTCTCATCATCCTGTACACCTCTATCAAGTCACCTCTCATCCTTCTTCGCTCCAATGAAAAAAGCCCTAGCTCCCTAACCTTTCCTCATAATACTTGCCCTCCAGTCCAGGCAGCATCCTGGTAAATCTCCTCTGCACCCTCTCTAAAGCTTCCACATCTTTCCTGTAATGAGGTGACCAGAACTGAACACAATATTCCAAGTGTGGTCTAACCAGAGTTTTATAGAGCTGCAGCATAACCTCACGGCTCAAACTCAATTCCCCCGCCAATGAAAGCCAACATACCTTATGCCTTCTTTACAACCCTATCAACTTGGGTAGCAATTTTGAGGCATCTATGGACATGGACCCTAAGATCCCTCTGTTCCTCCACACTGCTGAGAATCCTGCCATTAACCCGGTATTCTGCATTCAAATTCGACCTTCCAAAATGAATCACTTCATACTTTTCTGGGTTGAATTCCATCTGCCACTTCTTTGCCCAGCTCTGCATCCTGGCAATGTCCCGTTGCAACCTACAACAGCCCTCCACGCTGTCCACAACTCCACCAACCTTCATGTTATCAGCAAACTTGCTAACCCACTTCCTCATCCAAGTCATTTATAAAGATCACACACAGCAGAGGTCCCAGATCAGATCCCTGCGGAACACCACTGGTCACCGAGCTCCAGGTTGAATACTTTCCAATACTGAATATTGAATGTGCTTATCCCGAGTCATTGTGTTAAAAAAAAATTACCTCAGGTTTTTTTTCAAATGATCTTAAATCAGTGTCCTCTGGTTAATGAGTCTCCTGTCACTGCACGTAGTTTGCCCAATTCGATTCGATCAAAATCTTTCATGACTTTGCATACCTCCATCAAATCTCTTCTCAAACTCTGCTGTAAGGGGAGCAACCCCAGCTCCTGTAATCTTCTCATCATCCCTGTTCCCATTCTACTATATCTTCTCGATTCCCTATTCCAAGGCCTTCATCTACGTATTAAAGCATAATGCCCAGAACAAACCACAATTTCAGCTGGAGCCTTAGTAATGTTTTAGAATGGTTTCATTTGGCTTCCCTGCATTTTGTATAAGTCCAAAGATCCAATAAGTCTCTCTAAAAGACCTCTCACCCTGTGTTCTTACCCTTAAAACCACGCGTGTAGACAATTTCTAGGTACCCTTTCCTGCTCCTTGGTCCATACTCATACCACTGGCATACACTCTCCACATAACCAATAACTCCACAGTAACATGGCCATAATGGAACTGCTATAAAAAGCACCCATTCATGATTATCTTCAAAACGTTGCCATAGCTATAACTCTATAAGAGTTTCAATCAACCAGCTAACCATTTCAATCAATCAGTATCACTGATGGAGGATACAAGCACTTGACACCTCTATATTTTATGCAAATAAACAATGAGCCACTGACAAAAATGATCACAGAAAAAAACAGCTTACTGTACTATCATGGAGCTATCAATCAGGCCCAGTTATACCCCACTGTCCAGCAATGTCAATAGAAATAATCTTTTTATGGGAATCTGTGCTTTCAGTGAAATGGAACCATATCACTTACTTCAAAATCCTGGAATTGCCTTCCCAACAACACCACAGGAGAGAACCTATACCACGTGGGCTACAGGGGTTTTGAGAAAGAAGGTAACTAGCGCTATAAAGGCAGTTAGGGATGGGTGACAAATGCTAACCCGGCTAGCTACTATCCTGTAAAAGAAGCTGTAAAAATGTTAATATAAGTTTTGATGATCTCTTTGTCAGATTCCCTTTTCACTGCAGTGAAAAATACTGAATACCCTGACCAATGCAGTTCTTCTAACTCGGACTGGGCAATGATTCACTGAAACATTTTAAGTGTGTTGATGGGGCACTGAATAAAACAACAGACAGAAGGGAAGCCACTCATAGAACGAAGAGTGATACAGATCAGAGGGAGGAGCCAAGAGCGAGTGAGAACTCAGTGTGTAAAAGAGATGGGTCAGATAGAGGAAATTGAGAGTGAGGCAGTGGGGCGGGGGAGATTGAGGTGGGGGGGATGGAGAGTGAGGCGGGGAGGAGTGAGGCGGTGGTGGGGGGTTGGGGAGTGAGGCTGGCACTGTAGATATACCTACACTATGTGAACTGCCGCAGTTGAACAAGGCACTTTGTGAAGGGCAATTAGCGATGGCCTTGCCAGCGATGCCCACTTACCATGAAGAGTTATTCAAAAACTGAGGCCCAGTTTGCCATCTCGGGTGATCACAACTGATCCTATACAATATATGAAGAAGAGGAGTAAACTGAGTTTGACCTCGAGCCCTGTCAATATTTATCATTCAAGTAACATCTTTAAATGGGTTGCTTAACCATTGTCACATTGATGCTTGTGGGAGTCTGCTTTGTACTAATTGACTGTTGTATTCTCTGCATCACAACAGTACCCATATTTCAGAAGTTGCTAACTGACTGCAAGACATTTTGTGGCATCTTATGGTTGTGAAATTAGTGTAGTAGTGCAAGTCTTTCTCTATTTTTAAATCCAGGCTTAACAATCAATATTAGTCAGTTTGACAAGTTACTCGAGGGATCCACACTGCTCGCCAAATTCAGTCTCACTGTGGAGTGATGATTTCAGGAGACCAAATGAAAGAAATCACTTTAAAACAAATTGTGACAACTGGGTAATTGGAGAGAAATGTATGGGCATTTATCTAGGCTACAATAGCAGACCCAGAGGGGTTTCTACTTGCTGATTTACTTCCCATCACTGAGGCAGTGCAGTTGAAAGAAACCAAGAAAAGGGAAAGACAGAGATGGGTCCTGAGGCATAGTGCACGAACCACACAACAATTTTTTGCACCTCTAAAGATCAGAGCTTCATGACTAGTCTTACCTGCTAGAAACATCCTCTGCGTCCTCTGCATTGTTTTATCAAGTTTCAAAATGTTGCTTTCCTCAGAGGCTGTCGGGAGAAGATGAGTTATATTTTTAGACATTTATCAGGGTATAATTCGTCAGGGTGACTACTCACACGATAATCATTAACATCATCGTCTCGCTGTTCTGATTTGCTCAAACTAGCCACTAGTAAAACAGGCAGCTCATTGTGAAGGCAGGCTAACACTAATGGCCCTGTTCTACATCTTGAAGGTGTCAGCTCTGATTTTGCGGGTGATACTTCTGCCTGAGACTCAGAAGATTGTAGACTCAGTCTCAGAAAGTTGGTGTATGAAATCACAGCTGACATTGTGGGGCAGCACTGAGAAGCAGAATTAATGCTCCAACCTGCTGTGCCATTTAACAAGGTCATGGCTGATTGTTTTTTGCCTCAATTCCACATTCTTGCCCAATTAATATCCCTCTATTCTGTGAGAGGTCAAACATTTATCCAAGATAACAAGGTGTAGAGCTGGATGAACACAGCAAGCCAAGCAGCATCAGAGGAGCAGGAAAACTGACGTTTCAGGTCGAGACCCTTCTTCAGAAAAAAACATTTAGCTATCTCAGCCTCGAATATGCTCAACAATGTAGCCTCCACAGCTCCCTGGGGTAGTGACTTCCAACAATTCACAACCCTCTGAGTGAAGAAATTTCTCCTCATCTCAGTCATACAGTCAAACAGCATGGAAACGGACCCTTCGTTCCAACCAGGCCATACTGACCGCGTTCCAAACTAAACTAGTCCTGCCTGCCTGCATTTGGCCCATATCTCTCCAAACCTTTCCTATTCGTGTACTTATCCAAATGTCTTTTAAATGTGATAATTGTATCTGCATCCACTATTGCCATTATGTGTAAAAAAGTTGCCCCTCATGTCCCTTTTAAATCTTATTGCTCTCACCTTAAAAATATGCTCCCTAGTTTTGAATACCCCCACCTTAGGGAAAATACCCCTATCTATGCCCCTCATGATGCTATAAGCCTATAAAGGTCACCTTCAACCTCCTACGCTCCAGTGAAAAAAGTCCCAGCTTATCCAGCCTCTCCTTATAACTTAAACCATCCATTCCTGGCAACATCCTCTGAAATCTTTTCTGAACCCTCTCCAAATTAATATTATCTTTCCTATAACAGGGTAACCAGAACTGCACACAGGACTCCAGAAGAGTCCTCACAACATCCTGTACAATCTCAACATGATGTTCCAACTCCTATTCTCAAAGATCTGAGCAGTGAAGGCAAGTGTACTAAATGCCTCCTTAACCACCCTGTATATCTGTGACACAAATTTCAGAGAATTATGTACCTGAACCCCTAGGTCTCTCTAAACTACACTATCCAGAGCCCCACCACTAATTGTATTAGTCCTGCCCTTGTTTGTTTTACCAAAATGCAATACCTCACATTTATCCAAATTAAACTCCATCTGCCACTCCTCAGCCCATTGACCCAATTGATCAAGATCTCTTTGTAATCTTAGTTAACCTTCTTCACTGGCCACTATGCTGCCAATTTTGGCGTCATTTACAAACTTACTAACCATGCCTCCTAAATTCTGATCCAAATTATTGATATAAATGACAAACAAAACTGGACCCAGTACCGATCCCTGTGGAACACTGCTCGTCACTAGCCTCCAGTTGGAAAAACAACCCTCCACCACCCTCTGACTCCTACCATAAAGCAAATTTTGTATCCATTTGGCAAACTCACCCTGAATCCCATGTGATCTAACGTTACTAATTAGTCTACCATGTGGAACCTTATCAAAGGCTCTACTAACGTCTAGCTCAACAACAACTACTACTCTAAGTGAGTCCTAAATGATTATCCCATTAGTCTGAGACTGTGCCACCATGCTTCAGATTCCCTCACTTGCAGAAATGCCCTTGTATGTTTCTATCAAATCACCTCTCATTCTTCTTGCTAAAAACAATTCCTCTTACACAAGACCATATCAATTCAATTTGATTACACTATGATTTTCTAACTCTTTGTTAAAACTTTCATCATAATAGATTTCAGTAATTTTCTGATGACCAATGTCTGGTTGTAGTTGAATCACTCCTCCTTAATGAGCAGTGATCTGTTTGATAACTTTCAACTGTTCTAGGATCAAGGAAGCTTTAGAAAACCATAACCAGTGCAACCACTTCCTCTGCAGCTACTTCTTTAAGAATGCTGAGATGCAAGCCCCCAGGAATTAACCTTTTAGTTGCTTAAGTTCTCCAACACATTTTCTCTGTAAATTAAGTTCCGCACTCTAATTTGCTCCTTGAATACCCTCTATTTCTAGCACCTAGTTTGTATCATCTACAATAGAGGCAGACACAAAATATTTGTTTAACATCTCTACCATTTCTTCTGCACCATGATAATTTTTTATGTCTCTGCTTCACATCAACCAGCGTTTACTTTAGCTACCCTCTTCCTTTTTCTCGCTTGTAAAAGCTCTTACAATTCATTTTTATATCACCGGGTAGTCAACTCTTATTTTCAATTTTTCCCTTTTAGCCAACTCTTCAGTCGCTCTTCTCTACTGGCTTCTAGATCTTTCTCAATTATTGAGTTTACTGCTATTCTTTGTGAAACATGTAGTTCTCCTTTAATGCAATAGTTGCGTTCTTGTGTGACCTCGTGCTATAGAAAACGGCCATAGAAAATCGCTATACCTGTACAGCAGAAAGTTCACATTATCTAAACAGCATCTACTATTCAATTATGTTATAGCTAATTCGCATTAACGAAACACGTGTTATAGCAGAACTACGTATTGCAAATCTCTTTTAATCTAATACTATCTTTAATTTCTCTAGTAAGTCACAGATGCTCTCTCCTCACTAAGTCTTTTCTGATAGAATGTATTTTTGTGGAATGTTGTGGATCATTTAATTAAATATTTCCCACTGTTTACTTATCACACGTTTTCATCCATTTATTCATTTTAGCCGTGTTCCCTTCACACCTGTGCAATTAGCTTTTTTTTAAAGTTTTGTATTTTTACTTTGTGCAATTCAATTCTGAGCCAAATTCCAAAAGAAAACTATTGTCATTATGTTATCTTTCACTATCAGAAATACTTCTCCTCCTTTTCCATTCAGTCTATCTTTCGGAAACTTGCAAACCCTGGAATATTCAGTTCCCAGCCTTGGTCTCCTTGTAATCACGTATCCAAAGGGAATGAACTGCACTGTTGAAGCCACTGTCTTTTGAATGAGACTTTTTTCTGAGTCATTCCCTCCCAGATTGACATAAACAATGTCAAAAAAAAATATTTTCAAGAAAAGCATAGCGGTACTCTCCCATGTCCTGCACAGTGCTTATTCAATAACCAGAAACTTAAAGCACAGGTTATCTGGTTGCTCCTTATTGTTCTATTGCTGGTCATCCACTAATTGATGGAGGAGCCAGTCTATTTTCCACAAGTGCTTATTTGTGTTTCATTGTTCAAATCAAAGGCCAGCCTTCTTTCTCCCTTTCCAAACCAAATTTCTTTATTAGGGAAAACCAGCCCTTAAATATATATAAGTATAAAGGAATTATAAGTTACAACATTGTCAATTATCTCATATGCTGGTTTCTTTGTCTAATTAATTAATATATGTGTTGCAAATCCTGATCCTTGTGTCATCTCTCCAGGTGATGTTTGTAAACTCAAAACTGATCCATTTATTCCTCTGTTTTCTGCTCATTAGCTAATCTTCAATCTGTACTAATATATTACCCCCAATCCCCAGGAGCCCTAATTTTATACAATATCCATTTATTTGGTAACTTCTTGAATGCTAGATCTAAATACACTACATTGTAGTTCCCCTTTATCCATTCTGCTAGCTGTGTCCAGAACAAAAACGCTGATAAATCTGTCAAAGACAATTTCCCTTTCATTAAGCCATATTGGCTCAGCCGAAATGATCTTCTGAGCATCTTGTTATCACACCGCTAACATATCGTTCTCGGGACATGGGTTCGAACCCCACCACGGCAGATGTTAAAATTTAAATTCAACAAAACTCTTGAATTGAAAGTTGGCCTAATGACAACCAAGTGACTTTGTCAATTATTGTAAAAACCTTCCAATGTCCTTTAGGAGAGGAACTGCCATCTTCACCTGGTCTAGCCCACAGGCGAATGGCAGGTATGCTTTCCCTAGGGTGGGGGATTTCAAGACTAGGGGGGCAATTTTTTTAAGGTGAGAGGAGAGAGATTCAAAAAAAGACATGGGGGCATCTTTTACACAGGGAGTGGTCCATGTTTGGAACGAACCTCCAGAGGAAATGGCAGATAAGGGCACAGTTACATCGTTTAAAAGATAGTACACAAATAAGAAATGTTTGGAAGGTATCGGGCCAAGCACAGGCTTGTTTAGTGGGACTAATTTAGTCTGGGATTATGGCCAGCATGGATTGGTTGGGCTGAAGGGTCTGTTTCCGTGCTGTATGATTCTGTGACTCTATAACTCTACATTGGTTGGAAAGGTCTGTGGAATGACTTGAGAATGGGAAAGCAGCTATAGAAATGCAGTTCTCCAGTGCCGCTCAACCCAGTTGCTAAAAGGTGCCTGTTGGGGGACCACAAGGAAAGATGCAGTTGGTATTCCTCCATATGACCTACATACGCTGCTACCAGAAGTTAATGATAGAGACCAGGGAGTAAGATAGCTACTCATCCACTTTAGCTGGTCAGCGCAAAAACAGTGAAAGGAGAATTATAAACAAATAACAAAAGCAATTTTAGACCAAATTGGCAAGCAAATCTACAAAAAATTCACTCGCTGGGGCTATTGGTGTCAGCTAGTTTACAGAATAATAGGCAGATTGAGCGGAAACCGAGTGCGCTAAGATCTTTTTAAAAGGTAGTGTTGAACTAAGACTTTGCTACTGGCCAAATGAACAATGCCTGCAACCCCTAAAAACAGAAAGTTTGGGGTATTTCAGATACTTGTCCCCTTCCTGTCCCCATCAGTACCGCTGTGCACCTTTGAGTTGATCTTGCAAATGATGTACTTGATGCACCAGGTGAAACATGACCGACTGGATCTCTGCCTTAGCCTCAGAAATGGACAGCTTGTAGAGGTCAAAGGTTAGTCCCTGGTCATCTTGGTTAAGTTTCAGTATGGCGATGTTGTCAAGAACTGTGAGGCTGACAGCAAACTTCTCGAAAGCATCCCTGTGGGCGCAGCACAGAATGTTAGCAGTAACGTTGATTCACCATTGTACACCACCCACCACCCTGTAGCCCACACACTTAAACATCATCTCTGTCCATCCTGTGTGTTCTCCTCACAGCCTGCATTCCAAACAAGCTTTGTTTCATTAATAAACTTAAGATATAGTACTTTCTGTCTCTTGTTTAAGTCATGAATATAGACTGTAAATATAACTGAGGGCCCAGCTACTGCTCCTTGTGGAACTTCAATAATAATTTTGAAAGGCCCATTTATCCCTATCCCCAACCCAAACACTGTCTCCTATTAACCAATCCTCTATCCGTGGTAACACATTAGCCCCAACTCCATGAACACCTATCCTGTGTATTTACATTTTAGTGTGGCCTCTTATCAAATGTCTATTGGAAATTCATATATCTTACATCTTAATGTTTCCCTTTATCTACTCTCTTGTTACATCCTCAAATCAACTAATACATTTCTCGGACTAGATTTCCCTTTCATTAATGATGGATTGCTAAGACTTTCTGAATTCTACATTCCAATGCTTATCGAAATGATGGATGTCAGGAGTGTTTTGATTAAATGCAGGGAGAGCTGCAACAGGGATAATGATTGGGACATTGCAATTGATTGCAGTTTTCCTCAATTAAGAAGATGGAATATAGCGTATGTTCCCACTCCTGGTCACAATCCAGCTGGACCTGTGGTTGTCTACAGGATAGGGTCAAGTCTTGGCTTTGATGTCTTTTCTGTCAGTGGGTTTGTCAGCATTCACTGAGCTACCATGGGGAGATTGGTTTCCCAGTGAGGAGCTGCATGGTGTCTGGTGTCATGCAGATGTAACCAAAGACATGGACAGGAATCGTAGGGCCCAATCCTGCTCCTCGACTGGGCAGACAGTCCCCAGTTGAGCGTAGCTGACCCACCGCCTGGGCACAGTGGGCTCCCTACTTTTTAAGCTTTGATGTACATCCCCAGCACCTTGCCCATCCATACCTATACCCCAGCAGTGGGTTGTTGGGAGGAGGGACCAAGGCGAGAGGGAAAACCAGCAAGGAAGTTAATAATGATCAGTGTCTCTTAGAGTCATACAGCACAAAAGCAGACCCTTCAGCCCAACCATAAAACCAACCTGCCTGCGCTTGGCCCATATCCCTCCAAACATTTTCTTATTCATGTATTTATCTAAATGTCTTTTAACTGTACCTGCAAGCACAACTTTCTCAGGAAGTTCATTCTAGACATAAACCACGCTGCGGAAAAGAAATTGCCCCTCAAGTCATTTTTAAATCTTTCTCCTCTCACCTTAAAAATATGCCCCCTTGTCTTGAAACCCCCCCCCCCCCCCAGCCTAGGGAATAGACACCTACCATTCACTTTATCTATACCCCGCATGATTTTATAAACCTCTGTAAGGTCACCCCTCAACGTCCTACACTCCAGGGACAGAAGTCCCAACCTTTCCAGTCTCAATAGGTTGGGTCATGTATGTTTCGCATCCAAGTGACCCTCTGCAGGAATCACAATCTATTGTAAGACATTGTCAATTCTGTGCGTGTTTAAGTAAATATTTCAGCCACCTGTGTGATACCTACTCCTTGGTTCTATCTCACCAGCAGACAGGAAAAGCTCTTCATTTTACAGTGTGGCTTTCTGAGTTTTGAAATGCACCTGTGGCTTGTTTGTTTATCTCAAATGGTTAGACCCTCTTCATTTTAATTCCTCGTCCGCTCATTCTCCTCTGCCACGACAGCATGTGGCTTGTGATTAAACAACTGGCTGATAGTAGCTGGTAATGGATTCCCAGTTGTTTATGTGCCGGCAGAGCCCAGCAGGCATCATTCCTGCTTTGGAATCAGGAGATCATGGGTTTAAGGACTGCTCCAGAAACAGGAGTGTATATTCAAGGCCGATGAGGCAGGACTGAGGGAGGGCTACTCACATACAACCAAAGCCCCAGCTCTGAAGGAGAGTCGCACTGAACTCAGAACATTAACTCTGCCCCTGTCTCCACAGATGCTGCCAGGCCTGCCGAGTTTCTCCAGCATTCTCTGCGCTGGTTTCAGCTTTCTGCTGTATTTTGCTTTTCTTCAAAGCCTTAGGTGCAATAGATCACAGAGAGTTATTTCCAGACCTACACCGAGCATCTTGTCTAACATCTCTCACTCGACATCAAGCAAGCAGATTATCCACTTGCTGTGGTAGCTTGCTGTGTTTCCTTCTATAGGCACTGCCTTCAAAAGTACTTTATGGACTGTGAAACATGCTGGGATGCCCTGAGGTCATGAAGTACACTATATCAATACAAGTTGCTCTATATATTTTTTCTCCTCTCTCCTGTGACCTTGGTCAGTCATCTCTCAGACGCAGTGTGGTAGAGGCAGAGGAGCCCTCTTGATTGTGCAGGATTCAGTAAATCCTACTACATGGAGTGACACCAGAATTCTCCACACCAGATTTATGGGTAAAATTGTTTCAAATCACAAGCCTGATGGGCACAGGGATGGCAGCAGTTGTACAGCGTCACACTTCCTCTCCATTTTCTCATTCAGTAAAATGTTTGCTAAGACATCGGCCTGGCATCAACATCCAATGCAGGTGAGTGAACACCCATCATAATCAAGCTTCAGGACAGGCCACAGTGCAGTCTGGTGATTTGATCAAATTGTCAGAATGTTAAAAGGATAGTTACAGAATCCTTACAATACAGAAAGAGGCAGTTCATCGAGTCTGTACTGACCCTGCAAACAGCGTCCCACTCAGCCTTAGCCTCAGCACCCACTCTATCCCTGTAATTCCCCATGGCTAATCCACCTAGCCTGCATGTCCCTGGATACCATGGGCGATTTAGCATGGCCAATCCACCTAACTTGCAACATCTTTGGACTATGGGAGGAAACCGGAGCACCCAGATGAAACCTGCACAGACACGGGGAGAATGCGCAAACTCCACACAGACAGTCACCCGAGGGTGGAATTGAACCTGGTTCCTAGTGCTGTGAGGTGGCTATGCTAACCACTGAGCCACCGTGCCACCCTTGTTGTTGAGAGACTGCTTTCTGCACTGGAGTAAATTGAGAGTGCAGAGCAGAGCTGGTAAATTAGAGCAACCCATTTAGGAGCAAAATCCAGAAACAATTCTTCACAAAACCACAAGGAGAAATCTGAATCGCGCTCTCTCTCTCTCTCTCTCAAATGCCTGTGTTTCCTGGAGCTATCAGGACTGAGAGTGAAGGATTTATGTTAGATCAGGGCAGTAAGAGATATAGAGCTGAGAATGGCAAACGGAGTTCAGATACAGATCAGCCATGAGCCAGCTGAATGGGAGAGCAGAGTCAAGGGGTTGAGTGGCTTACTCCTGATTCTATTTTCCTACATCTTCATCAACTCTCCTTTTTCCCCTGTGGACTGATGGTTACGTACCTGGCTATAGAGTCGTATTCTTCACAGGTTTTCACCCCATGTGTGGATTTCTGTCAGAGGGAAACAAAAGTGAATACTGTCTTTTTCCGATGTGCAGAGTTTGAGCTGCATGGCAGTGAAGATGAACATTGATGAATCATGCAACAGGGACATGGAGCCAGACTGAACCGAGAGGAGGAACTTGGGAAAACAGCCAAATGGTTAACCGACCCCCAGACAACAGTCAGCACCTGGCTGTGGGAGGGGAAGTGCACTAGCCATGGGATCAGCACACGCACTCCATGTCCCCAACTCTGCTGATGGAAGCCTTTGGGCCTGGCAAAACGCCAGTGGAGAGTGAATGGTGAGGATAATAAATCAGGCAAAAGCAAGAGTGGACAGCACAGCGGCTCAGTGGTTAGCACTGCTGCTTCACAGTGCCAGGGACTCAGGTTTGATTCTACCCTCGGGCAACTGTCTGCGTGGAGTCTGCACATTCTCCCTGTGTCAGCGTGGGTTTCCTCCGGATTCTTCCCACAGTCCAAAGATGTGCAGGTTAGGTGGATTGGGGCTTAAAAGAGACATTTGGAAGGAGATTCCAAAGTTTCGGGACCATGCACAGCAACAATCCACATCACCCCAGCAGAATCTGCTAGAAAGGGTTTATAGCATTTTCAAATGGATGAAATGCTGGCAAATGGGACTGGATTAATTTAGGACATGTGGACCGAAGGGTTTGTTTCCATGCTGTATGACTCTGTGACTCTAGGTCTTGGGGCCACATATGATCACAGAATCTGTCCCTCAGAGACAGCTAGTGCCTTGTTGGTGAATTGAAACTCTTGCTGAAAACATTATCCTCACTTGCTCTTAATACCTGACAACATTAATCATGGTAGGGTACTGCTTTTGTTAGCAATTAGCAGGTTATCAGCAAAGTACGAGGAGTAAAGTCTGTCAAGAGAAGTGCTATCGGAAGCAAAACATGCCAATCACAGGACATGCAGGTCTCAGTGAAGAAACTTGTGATGCAGTGGTAAATGTCCCTACCGCCGGCCCAGGAGGCCCATGTTCAAGTCCCACCTGCTCCAGAGCTGTGGGGTAGCAACTCTAAACAGGTCGATAAGGAAGATAGAACAAAACTTCAGAATCCTGCTTGATAAGGCCATCTAGTGTTCATGGGCTGGAATTACATTGACAATTTGCAGAACACAATTCAAAAGGAAATGTTGATGTATAAGCATGCTCCAGAATATTGACAGTAGAAAATAAGGTTTGCAGATAGGAACTGTGCATGTTATGCAAGATTTTTCATTCCACATAACTGCAAAAACATATGACCAGATGTAAATAGGGGGAGGTGACAGCCTAGTGGTATTTTCACTGGACTGTTAACCCAGAGACCCAGATAACATTCTGGGGACCCGGGTTTGAATCCTGCCACGGCAGATGGTGGAATTTCAATTCAATAAAATATTTGGAATTAAGAATCTAATGATGACCGTGATTCCATTGCCGATGTCAGGAAGAACCCATCTGGTTCACTAATGTCCTTTAGGGAAGGAAACTGCCATCCTTACCTACATGTGACTCCAGGTCCACAGCAATGTGGTTGACTCTTAACTGCCCTCTGGGCAATTAGGGCTGGGCAATAAATGCTGCCTAGCCAGCGACGCCCTCATCCCATTAATGAATAAAAAAAAGCAGGATAACACATTATTAAAACAAAATTAACAGTCTTAATACTCACATGTTCCTCAAGTTTTTGTGGACTGAAACCTGTGCTCCAAACATCCATACCATTTGTAACACTGCGAAGGAAAGGGAGATCATTGTCATCAGTACTTTCTGTTAGAGTCACGCATGCAAGAATGAAATGAGAGGATTAACTCAGTTTGTCAAACACAAGAAGACAGAGTCCAGTCATATGCTTTTCCCATCAAGAGTTTCAACACAATGTACACTTCATGAAACTCCAACAATCCGGATCACTTGCTCCCAGTACACCCAGTGCAGTTTTCCCAACTTATCTTTGAATTATCATACAACAATGAACTGCTCCGTAATTCCACTTAGTCTCAGACAACCCTGCTAGATCCTACTGGATGATAACACGTTTGATCATAAGAAGACAAAAGTAGAATATACGATTGATTGATTAATTGATTGATTGTCACGTGTACCGAAGTACAGCGAAAAGCTTTGTTTACAAGCGGTACAGGCAGATCATACTAAACGAAGGATGTACAGACCAAAAAGACTTAGACAGAGGCACATAGGTTACATTGCATAGGGCTAGGTGAGCTCAACGTTAGCAAGATCAGTGTTATTTGAGGCTAGAGAGTTCATTCATCAGTCTGATAACGGCTGGGCAGAAATTGTTCCTGAACCTGCTCGTGTGTGTGTTCAGGCTTCTGTATCTTATGCCTGATGGAAGAGGTTGTAGGAGAGTGTTACTAGGGTGCGATGGGTCTTTGATGATGTTGGCAGCCTTTCTGCGGCAGCGAGCCATGTAAATAGAGTCCATGGACGGAAGGTTGGCTTCTGTGATGGTCTGGGCTGTGCACACCACCTTCTGTAGTTTCTTGTCAGAGCAGTTGCCATACCAGGCCGTTATGCACCCGGACAGTATGCTTTCAATGGTGCACCGGTAGAAGTTGGTGAGGGACCTTATGGACATGGCCAAATGTCCTGAGCTGCCTGAAGAAGAAGAGGCGTTGTTGTGCCTTCTTGTCTGACACATCTACATGAGAAGGCCAGGACAGGTATCAGTTATCGTCACTCCGAGGAACTTGCTGCTCTTCACGCTCTCAACGCTCTCAACCTCAGCTCCGTTGATCTCGATGTGGGTGCGTTCTCCTCCTTTCTTTTTGAAGTTGATGATCAGTTCTTCAGTTTTGCTGATGTTGAGAGACAGATTGTTTTCATTTCACCATGTCACCAAGCCCTCTATCTCCCTTCTGTAGTTTGACTCATTGTCGTTAGATATCAGTCCCACTCCCATGGTGTCATCAGCAAACTTGTAGATGGTGTTAGTTTGGAATTTGGCAACACAGTCATAGGTATGCAGGTAGTACGGTAGGGGGGCTGAGGATGCATCCAGTGTTGAGTATTATTGTGGAGGAGATGCAGTTACCTATCCTCACTGATTGAGGCCTGTGGGTCAGAAAGCTGAGGATTCAGTTGCAGAGGACCAAGTTCACAGTGTGTTGAGATCAGTCTGGAGGGGATAATGGTGTTGAAGGCAGAGCTGTAGTCAACGAGCAGGAGTTTGACATGGGTGTCTTTAATGTCCAGATGTTCCAGGGATGAATGCAGGGCTAGGGACATGGCATCTTCTGTGGACCTGTTACGTCGGTAGGCAAATTGTAGCAAAAATTTCAAAAAGGTCTTGACACTCAATCAGATTTAGGGTACTTGTACAAGGAAAGCAGGAAGTTCAATTCCAGGTGCACTATGTAATTAAAAAGGCAAGTGGCATGTTGGTGTTCACTGCAAATGGATAAAGGAATCTTGCTCCAGGGTTGAGACCCCATCTGGAATTCTGTGGGCAGATCTGGTCTCTATACTAAAGGGATTGGAAGTGATACAGTGAAGGTTCACATCACTGTCCCTGCAAAGAAGGGGTCAGTCAATGATGACAGACCAGGTCAGCTGGGCTGGTATTCTCTGGAGTTGAAATAACGTGAAGTGATCTCACTAGGTTGTATAAGATTCTGGCTTGATAAGGTAGACACTGAGAAATCGTTCCCATTGGTCAGGGAATATAAAATATGAAGCATTGCGAATCATTGGCATTCCATTTGAAGGGCTCACGGTGGCTCCGTGGCTGGCAAGGGTGCCTCACAGCACTAGGGACCTATGTTCGATTCCAGCTTCAGGTGACTCTCTGTGTGGAGTTTACACATTGTCTCTCTGTCTGTGTGGGTTTCCTGTGGGTGCTCTGGTTTCCTCCCACAGTCCAAAGATGTGCAGGCTAGGTGGGTTAGCCATGGGAAATGCAGGGTTACAGGGATGGGGAAGGGGGGTGAGTCCAGGTGGGATGCTCTTCAGAGGGTCAGTGTGACTGAATGGGTTGAATGGCCTGCTTCCACAAGGTAGCATGATTCCCTAGGCCGGAGGGTTGTGTCACTCCAGTATTGAAAATATTTAAAGCTGAGACAGAGTTTTGGTCTCTTGGGACATTGAGGGATCTGGGGAATGGGTAGGGAAATGGAGTTGAAGCCCGAGATGATTCACAAACATACTGAATGATGGAGCAGGCTTGATGGGCAAAATGTCTACTGTTACCCCTATTCCTCGTGATCTTGGTACAGAGGAGCAGAGTGGAGCCCTTTCAACTGAGGGACACCGTTCAATAAGCAGCTCAGCGTAATAGGGTCTCCTGACAGCTGTAAAGATTCAAAGCATGTCTGAACCGAATAGTAGCACTGTAGCTTCTCAGTTAGAATCCAGAGCTGAGAATAATTACATTACTCAGGTCTGGGCTGCCTTGCAACACTGCGTTGACGCCAATATTTAAACAGATATCCCCTTATCCTGTTCAGGTGGACATCAAGATTTCATAACTCTATCTAAATAAGAACAAGACATTTCTCTATTATTTTGACATTAGGTTGAGGTCGTACAGGATGTTGGCAAGGCCTCCTCTGGAATACTGTGTCTAGTTGAAGAACATTATTAAGCTGGAGAGGGTTCAAAAGAGATTTACCAGAATGTTGCTGGGAATGGAGGGTTTGAGGCATAAGGATAGACTGAATAGGCTGGGATTTTTTCAATGGAGTATAGGAGGTCCAGCGGTGACCTTATAGAGGTTTATAAAATCAAGAGGGGTACAGATAAGGTGAATGGCAGGTGTCTTTTCCTTAGCATGGGGGAATTTCAAGACCAGGGAGCTATTTTTAAGGTAAGAGGAGAAAGATTTAAAAAAAGACAGGACAGGTTACGGGTTACACTTTTTTTTACAGTGGTTCGTGTGTGGAATGAACTTCCAGAGGAAGTGGTGGTTGCCAGTATAGTCACAACATTTAAAGGATATTTAGATAAGCACATGAATAACAAATGCTTGGGGAAATATGAGCCAAGAAGAGAAACATAGAAACACAGAAGATAGGAGCAGGAGGAGGCCATTTGGCTCTTCGAGCCTGCTCTGCCATTCTTCACAATCATGGCTGATCATCCAACTCAATAGCCTAACCCTGCTTTCTCCCCATAAACTTTGATCCCATTCACCCCAAGTGCTATATCTAGTCACCTCTTAAATACATTCAATGTCTTGGCATCAACTACTTTCTGTGGTAATGAATTCCACAGGCTCACCACTCTTTGGGTGAAGAATTGTCTCCTCATCTCCGTGCTAAATTGTTTACCCCGAATCCTCATACTGTGACCCCTGGTTCTGGACACACCCACCATCGGGAACATCCTCCCTGCATCTACCCTGTCCAGTCCTGTTAGAATTTTATAAGTCTCTATGAAAACCCCCTTCATTCATCTGAACTCCAGCGAAAACAATCCCAACCTAGTCAATCTCTCCTCATACGTCAGTCCTGCCATTCCCGGAATCAGCCTGGTAACCTTCACTGCACTCCCTCGACAGCAAGAGGTAGGTGGGACTAGTTTAATTTGGGGTTATGGTTGGCATGGACTGGTTGGACCAAAGGGTCTGTTTCCATGCTGTATGACTGTATGATTTAGCATGTTGTTGTTGTTGTGGACATAAAGCAGTTAATTTATTGATCTACATGTCAGTCACTGCATGCAGAAAAATAATGACTTGGGCCAGAACTTCCTGCAGCAAAGTATCTCACAGTGTTCACAGTTAACTTGACTTCATTTCGCATGATTCAGGCCAAATTCTTCTGGCGTTGAAATTGACTTGAAATGCAAGCTGATAATCGCAAGGCAAGGGGAAGGGTGCATCAGGAACATTACTGAATAGCAGCAATGCAGTTTCAGGGTTGAGAAATAAACAGAGGAAGAACTGAGGAGGAGGGTGAACTAAAGCTAAATCAGGTATAACATGATAAAATTTTTAAAAAGTTAATTAAGATATAATGAGAAGAAAAGAAACAGAAAGGAAATGTAAGAAATACACGTATTGGAAAGGTTACTGGTCTGAATTTCAACTTTTTCTCTCCCCTGATGCTGCTAGATCCGTGGTAATAGCAATGCTTACTTTTGGATCACTGTTGGAAGTTTTGGTCCGAGTTGTTCAAACTAGGCCAATACTTGCACAGGATGTGTCAATTTTTGCAGGGAGCCCTGAAACTGTCAATTCCTTGCAGTGCTGTGGGGTTTTTGAAAGTGTGTCAATCTTCACAGATGGGTTCTGAAAATGGTAAAACCCTTGAAAGTGTGCCAAATTTACAGGGCCCCCATGAGCATGCATTAAGCTCCTTTAACAGTCATCGTAAGTATGCTGATATATGCACAGAACTCTGAAACAATGCCAAACCTTTGCAGGTGGCTCACATACAACTACTTGCAGTTGCTTTCTCACGCAAAACAGCACAAAGGAAGTCACTGCTGTTCTCTTCTGGTTGGCCCCCAGCATGCAGTGATATAATCAACACCCTTGACTATCTCAGTCTGTGTGTCCCTTGGATCTGGAAATGCTACAGGAGTGTTCTTGTGAAGACATTGGATTTGGCTATATCATATATATATTTTTAAATGCTTGAAATTTAACTGTTTTGCTAAAATAAAGTTATATGTAAATAATTTTGAGGATGGCTACTATATAATAACTTGCAGGTAACATTCATAAAACTAATAATATTACCAGTTGTCTCGATATAGAATGGGTAGTCTGAATTTCCTGTACTAGTCTAGAAGTTTGAAAATTAAAGCTGGGCACCAGAGAGTTTAATTTCTGTATTACCCCATTACAGAATTATTGTTTTACATTAGTTAATAGTGAGTTACTGAGGATGCTCCTATTGTATCATGCAGAAGGAGGCCATTTTACCTATTGAGTCAATGATAGCTCTTTGAAAGTATTATTCAGATAAGATCCTAGAATCCTTACAGTGTGGAAACAGGCCATTCGGCCCAACAAGACCACACCATCTCTCCGAAGAGCATCCCACCCAGACCCATTCCCTTACATTACTCCATGTCGAAACCAAACATCCCTGGGCATTATGGGCAATTTAGCATGGCCAATCCACCTAGCCTTCACATCTTTGGACTGTGGGAGGAAACAGGAGCACCCAGAGGAAACCATGCAATTCAATTAGTTCCACTCTCCTAACTTTTTCCTCATAGCTCTGTAAGTATTTTCTTTGAATGTATTATCTTTCTGAAAATTATTATTTAATCTGCTTCCACCATCCTTTCAAATATTGCATCGTTAAGCTTTCCTCATTTCACTTCTGATTCTTTTGCCAGTTAGCTTAAGTCTATGTTCTTTGGTTGCCATTCCTAGTATTACTGAAAATTTTTTTTCTTATTTATTCAGCAAAACCCATCACATTACTTTGAATACTTCTATCCCCATAACCTTCTCTGTTCTGAGGAGAACAATGTCAGCTTTTCTGGTTATTTAATGTAACTGAAGTCTTTCAATGTTGTGTACGCCCTGAGAACTCTCCTCTTCTCTGAGTTTGAGGCCTTGGATGTCTTTCCTAACTTGTGGTACCCAGAATTGGCCACAATTCTCCAGCTTGGAAGTCTATTGCCGTTTCTTCACTGTTGCTGGGTCATAATCCTGGAATTCCCTCCCTAACAGCATTGTGGGTCAACCCACAGCAGGAGGACTGCAGCAGAAAGCAGCTCACCACCACCTTCTCAAGGGCAACTAGGGATGGGCAATAAATGCTGGCCAGCCAGCGACACCCACATCCCAACAAATGAATAAATAAAACTGAAAGCTGGAGGTTAACCAGGAATCAGCCTTTCTTGTAATAAAGCCATGTATGGTTAAACAGAATATATTTGTCCTGTCTTCATTAAAGACTTACATACTCAGAGCGTCTCTGTTCTGTTAAAGTGCTACTTCACTATTCTGCCATTGATTTATCTTCCCTCTTCTTTCCCTTTCGGCCAAAATGAATCACTTCATCCTTCACTGCATCTCTGCGCTTTGGAAGAAGGAACAAGACAAGGGAGTACTCAGTGAATGGCAGGCAGTAGGAAGTTATGGAGGAACAGAGGGATCATGGAGTGCTTGTTCACAGATCCCTGTAGGAGGTGACAGGACAGGTTGGTGGGGTAATTAATAAGGCAAATGGGATGCTTGCCTTTATCAGTTGTAGAATAGATCGTAAGAGCAGGGAGGTCATGTTGGAGCTGTACAGGTCTTCGACTGAGCCACAGCAGTTCTGGTCATCACACACGAGGAAGTACGTGACTGAACTGGAGCGGGTGAAAAGGAGATTCACCAGGATGTTGCCTGGGATGGAGCATTTCAGAGATGAAGAGAGGCTGAATAAGCTCCGGTTGTTTTCTTCAGAGCCGAGAAGGATGACAGCGGACCTGGTAGAGGGGTGTAAGATTATGAGGGGCATGGACAGGGTGAACAAGAAGCAGCTGTTCCCCTTAGTCAAAGGGTCAATACAAGGGGGCAGGAGGGAAAGTCAGGAGATTTACAGAAGATCTTAAGGAAAGCTTTATCAGTCAGAGGGTGATGGGGAGTGGAATGCACTGCCTGGGAGGGTAATTGAAGAGGGAAATCCCACAAATTTTAAAAATTGCTTCAACACTCAAGGCTACGGGTCAAGAGTGGGTAAGTGTGACTGCAGTAGGCAGTCTTGTATTTTTGGCAGTACGGTTCTGATGGGCCAAAGGGCCTTTTCTTTACTGTATGAATCTAAGCCTATTCCACTAATGTATCTATATTGTCCAGAAATCTGTCCCTATCCTCCTTGCTGTTTAATTATATTCTCAAGCTGATCCAAATTTTGAAATTATACTAACGTGCTGAAATTAGATCCTTATATGATATATGGAATAGATGATTTATAATGTATATATTTCCTCTCACTGCTACTTTTTTTACTTAAAATTACTGAAGTTACAGATTATTCAGGTTTCTGAAATTAACAGCTACAGATCTTTTGAGCCATTGGTTAGTGAGGGCAGTAGAGTTGCCGAATTTTTTTGTTATTAGATGCATAACCACCAGAACATTAATAAAATTTTTGCTGTTTAGGGTTGGGGAGGTAAATTTTGAAACCAGACATTCGGGGATGTACCTGTTTTCCAAAATATTTAAAACAAAAACTGTTGTACAATGCCATGCACTTTTAAAATCTAGCTTGATGTTACCTGTGTTGTACAATGTATGGTACTGAATTCAAGTGGTGCTTGAAGGCACCAGCAGTGAGTAGCACACTGTTGCACTCAGATCAGGACGTGACTCCAGAACTGGACCGTAACTTTGTTTAAAGGCAGCTAACATAGTCAAACGCCCCTCCCACCGCAGTTATAATCTCTTTCATCAGATCGAAGATACGAAAGCTTACACACAAGCACCAACAGATCCAATCCAAAGGAGTGCAGGTTAGGTGGATTGGCCATGGGAAATGCAGGGTTACAGGGATAGGATAAGGGAGTGCCTCTGGGTGGAATGCTCTTCAGAGAGTCGGTGTGGACTTGACGGGCCGAACGGCCTGCTTCCATACTGTGGGGTTTCTATGATTCTATGAAGAACTGCTTCTTACCTGCTGTTATTAAATGTCTGAACGGACCTCTGAAATTTTACATTTCACGTTGATCTCGCTCTTTGTGTGTCTTCTCTGAAGCAGTAACATTGTATTCTTCACTCTGTTCTATTACCCTAGTGCACTTTATATGGTATGATCTGCCTGTACTGCATGCAAAACAAAACCTTTCACTGTACCCAGGTACATGTGACAATAATAAGTCAAATCAAAAGTAATGTCCCAGAGACAGACCTGAAGATGGGACCATAGCAAAGCCTGAGAATACCCTGTACATGCAACAAAATCCTTTCCCTGAAATTACTTTCTTGTCTCGCGTGGCCTTACCACAGGTTGAACTTCTCAGGGCCAGGCCGGGTGTAGCAAAGGTACTTCTGGTGGCTTTGAGGGAGTGCATGGACAAACAGAGACCCGATAGAGGACGGCCGCTGCACTGCTTCCATTTTCCAGAGGAGGCTCTTGAACATGTAATAAAGCACAATCAGTACTGTCACATCCAAACATGAAAAGGCTGCATGTACTGATAGTGTTTAATAAACATCACAGCAGACTGTAACAGCATTCATGATAAGATGCAGCAAATAAAAGCTGGCGTTAAAGCCCAAGAGGCTGCTCCCTCACTGGAGATGGTTTGACCTGAGGGTAACCAGGCCTCAGTTGAGGGGGAGGTTGAGAGGGCAGGACCTTCAAGCTGACCTCAGTCACTGTGGGAATTGAACCCATGCTGTTGGTATCACTCTGTATCACAGATCAGCAGTGCAGCCAACCGAGCTAACCAACCTTTGGTGTAACAATTTGACCTAAAGTAGATAATACAATACACGTAATGTACACTAGGGGGTGTGAGTGTGTGTGTGTGTATATATATACACACACACACACACATACACTAGGTAAATACTTACACAATATATATTGTCATGTTCATGACATATTAACATCCATAGATGCATTTTAGTTTCGTTTCCTCTGCTTAGTAATATGCTTAAATTCAGCAGGTTGTCACAGGGGAAGGCAATGGCCTAGCGGTATTATTGCTGGACTGATAATCCAATGACCCAGATAACATTCTAGAGACCCGAGTCTGAATCCTGCCATGGCAGATGGTGGAATTTGAATTCAATAAAATATCTGGAGTTAAAAATCTAATGATAACCATGAATCCATTGCTGATTGTCAGGAAAAACCCATCTGGTTCACGAATGCCCTTTAGGGAAGGAAACTTGCCATCATTACCTGGTCTGGCCTCCATGTGACTACAGACCCACAGCAATGTGGTTGACTCTGAACTGCCCTCTGGGCAATAAATGTTGCCTGGGCAGTGACTCCCTCATCCCATGAATGAATGAATTAAAAAATTAGTGCGGATGGGTGTGAAGGGTATTATTTTGGAACAAACAACAAGGAGGGGCATTACGATGTAAATATTTTAAGGAGGGTAAAGGAACACACGGAGCTAGTGGGCTGGAGGTGGGGTAGATATTCATAAGAACTTGAAAGTGGCAAGGCAAGTCAACAAGGCAGTTAGGAAAATATATGGGCATTTGGTGACATAAGTAAGGCTATTGAACACAAAGCCACATCAAACTTGTGCAATTCACTGCAGTCCTGCATGCAGTTCTGGGTACCACATTTTAGGAAGGATATCAAGGCTTTAAAGCAGGTACACAGGAGGTTCTCTCGGATTGTATCAGGGATGAGGAAATCCAGACGTGCAGAGAGATTGAAGAAACTGGGATTATTTTCCTTTGGACAGTGACAAGGTAAACCTAATGGGATGTTAAGAGAATGAAGGACGCTTGGAAAGGGCATCAGGAGAAACTGTTTCCTCTGGTAGCTGGGGCAAATGCGAATTTATCCACAGTAGGAATAACTATGAGGGTTGAGGCAGGAGATTTCATGGTAACATTCAAAAGGGGAACTTGAAGAGAATCACTGCAGTGTGGAAGCAGGCCATTCAGCCCACCAGACCTCCAAAGTGCATCCCACCCTCCACCCTTACCCTTGTAACCCTGCATTTCTCATAGCTAATCCACCTAGACTATACATCACTGAACATTATGGGCAATTTAGTGTGGCTAATCCACCCAATCTGCACATCTTTGGACAGTGGGAGGAAACTCCCTGTATTCCTTTACCCCCCTTAAAGTATTTACATTATACTCACACAGACACAGGGAGAATGTGCGAACTCCACACAGACAATTGCCCCAGGCTGGAATCGAACTTGTGTCCCTAGCACTGTGAGGCAGCAGTGCTAACCACTGAGCCACCAATTACAAAAAACTAACAAAGTGGGGAAACTCGGTGTAGAATTAATTGGATAGCTCTTTTCCAGCACTGACTTAACGGGCTGAATGGCATTTCTTACTGTAGGACTCTCGATTTCCATAATAAACAAACACAGTAGTGTACATTGCCTGGTCATATCCTGTATAGCATAACATAGTGAAGTATTTTTCCAAAACAATCGGATCAAACACAGAGTACAGCCAATACTGTAACATTAATGCTGTATCAGAAGTAGCAATGGTTAACACTGACAAATATTGAAAGTTCTCATAATATAAATCACAGTGACGGTAAAACCCTGTAATCTTGCAGAACAAAGTAAGGCGAGAATAACAAAAATAGAGTGTAACGCAACTTACTGGAAAACCAAAACCTTTAAACCTGCTGTGTTCATCCAGCTCTACACCTTGTTATCTCAAAACCCTTAACATTCAGTGAAGACTAATAAATACTATATGTTTAAATATGATAACATTAATAGTTAATATTGTATAACAGTAAATATAAAATTTTAAACGCCGGGAAAAGTAAAACATTGATCTGTTCCTGGTAATTACAAAACTGATGTTCAGACGTTTGGGTGTTCACAATGGTTAATATGTTGTGAGCTGTGTTTTAAAGTGCTTTGAGATTGCCCATGTCAGCAGCCTGGTTAACACAATGTACAGCACACACAGCCTGGGAGCGCTGTCTCCCAGGCTCCGCTGGGACAGCGGCGCTGCCTCCACTCACACTGAAACCCACCTTCTCCTGGAACAGGGAAGCGCTGGCTGTACAACCAACAAGAAAAACAAATAGCTGCAAAAGAAAACACCACCGATAAAAGTTCGAGATCTTTCCTTGACAGCACCATCTAGTGTTAAGGGAGTACTGCCCGGTTCCTCTTTACCCTGATGATCAGACGTTCTGACAATGCAGGAGGAGCGCAGAAATGAACCATAAAACGTAGAATATTACAGCGCAGTACAGGCCCTTCGGCCCTCGATGTTGCGCCGACCTGTGAAACCAATCTGAAGCCCATCTAACCTAAACTATTCCATTATCATCCATATGTTTATCCAATGACCATTTATATGCCCTTAAAGTTGGCGAGTCTACTACTGTTGCAGGCAGGGCATTCCATGCCCTTACTACTCTCTGAGTAAAGAACCTACCTCTGACATCTGTCCAATATCTATCACCCCTCAATTTAAAGCTATGTCCCCTCCTGCTAGCCATCACCATCCAAGGGAAAAGGCTCTCGCTGTCCACCCTATCTAATCCTCTGATCATCTTGTATGTCTCTATTAAGTCACCTCAACCTTCTTCTCTCTAACGAAAACAGCCTCAAGTCCCTCAGCCTTTCCTCATAAGACCTTCCCTCCATACTAGGCAACATCCTGGTAAATCTCCTCTGCACCCTTTCCAATGCTTCCACATCCTTCCTATAATGTGGTGACCAGAACTGTACCCAATACTCCAAGTGCGGCCGCACCAGAGTTTCGTACAGCTGCAGCATGACCTCATGGCTCCGAAACTCAATCCCTCTACCAATAAAACCTAACACACCGTACGCCTTCTTAACAACCCTATCAACCTGGGTGGCAACTTTCAGGGATCGATGCACATGGACACCGAGATCTCTCTGCTCATCCACACTACCAAGAATCTTACCATTAGCCCAGTACTCTCTATTCCTGTTACTCCTTCCAAAGTGAATCACCTCACACTTTTCCACATTAAACTCCATTTGCCACCCCTCAGCCCAGCTCTGCAGCTTATCTATGTCCCTCTGTAACCTGCAACATCCTTCCGCACTATCCACAATTCCACTGACTTTAGTGTCATCCGCAAATTTACTAACCCATCCTTCTACGCCCTCATCCAGGTCATTTATAAAAATGACAAACAGCAGTGGCCCCAAAACAGATCCTTGAGGTACACCACTTGTAACTGAACTCCAGGATGAACATTTCCCATCAACCACCATCCTCTGTCTTCTTACAGCTAGCCAATTTCTGATCCAAATGGCTAAATCACCCTCAATCCCATGCCTCCGTATTTTCTGCAATAGCCTACAGTGGGGAACCTTATCAAACGCTTTACTGAAATCCAAATACACCACATCAACCGTTTTACCCTCATCCACCTGTTTGGTCACCTTCTCAAAGAACTCAATAAGGTTTGTGAGGCACGACCTATCCTTCACAAAACCGTGTTGACTATCCCTAATCAAATTATTCCTTTCTAGATGATTATAAATCCTATCTCTTATAATCCTTTCCAACACCTTACCCACAACCGAAGTAAGGCTCACTGGTCTATAATTACCAGGGTTGTCTCTACTCCCCTTCTTGAACAAGGGGACAACATTTGCTAGTCTCCAGTCTTCTGGCACTATTCCTGAAGACAATGA